TCTGGAGGTCTGGGCCTCTTTGAGGAAGGACTCCGGAGAGGAAGAGTCAGGGCCCCGGGCGGAGTCACAAAGGGCATCCTGATGAAACAGGAATCTGGGGGGCGGGTGTCCGACCCCTCCAGCCAGGTGCTTGAGCCTTCCTCGCAAGGTTGTCTTTTTTTGTGCCCTGCCTTTTGGAGGAGAGGGGCGTGAATGCATAAAATGTCATAAAATAAGATTATGTATAAAATAATCATCAGCATTGAACGGGAAAGAAGACCCATGTCAGGCGGCCTTCCTTGAATAAATAGATTTTTGCAGCAGGCAGGTGTGCATTTAGGGTTTGGCCAGGACCTCCCGGGTCCCGAGTGAGGAGCCCGTCCCGAAGTCCCGACGGCTGGTCTGCAGACCTCCAATTCGTGGGGAATCCCGTGTCCGGTTCTTCCTCTACACCATTGCAAAACAGCCTTAACCTTCAACGCAGGGGTCACGGCGGCGCTGGCTTTTCCTGTTAGGGGCAGAACATCTGGGAGGTCCTTCCTTTAATAGGGCCACCCCCACCCCCGGGAAGTGACGGGGGGGACACTGAACAGGGACGTCTCCGATGGAGAGGCGGTGGTGGTCTTGAGCCATGGGCAGAGGGTCAAGCCCTGGACAACGTGCCACATCGCGGCGGTGTATTGTGGGCCTTGAATGCACGTTTCTGCCCTCCAGGTTGAGTCCTCATGGCCGAGCTGGCGAAGCCGAAGCGGATCCTGGTGACGGGCGGCTCCGGACTCGTGGGGAAGGCCATCGAGAAGGTGGTGGCGGACGGGGAAGGGCGCCCGGAGGAAGAGTGGATCTTTCTCTCCTCCAAGGATGCCGACTTGACGTGAGCGAATTTGGAGGGTGCCGGAAAATTGGGGAGGGGGGTTGCTGATCAGATCAGCAGCTGCTGGGGGAGCCTGGCTGAGCCAGAGGGGTGCGGTGGTCCGTTCTGATTCTGGGAGGGGGGCCAAGTCGGCCGGCTTTGTGGCTGACCGTACACCCATCGCCCTTGCTGTTTGTAGGTTAAAAACAGTGTTGCTCTTGCAAGACAAAACTAAAATCAGAGTTGGGTCAGGGGAGGGGGGTTGCTGATCAGATCAGCAGCTGCTGGGGGAGCCTGGCTGAGCCAGAGGGGTGCGGTGGTCCGTTCTGATTCTGGGAGGGGGGCCAAGTCGGCCGGCTTTGTGGCTGACCGTACACCCATCGCCCTTGCTGTTTGTAGGTTAAAAACAGTGTTGCTCTTGCAAGACAAAACTAAAATCAGAGTTGGGTCATAACCTTTTGTTGTTGTTGTTGTTGTTGTTGTTGTTGTTGATGATGATGATGATGATGATGATGATGATGATGATGATGATGATGTGCCACCAAGTCAATTCTGACTTCTGCTGAACCTTTCCAGGGTTTTTCCAGGTAGAGAAGACCCAGAAGGGGTTTCCCACGGCTTTCTTCTGGGGGTATTTCTGAGACGGTGCAGCTGGCCCAAGGCCACCCAGGCTGGCTCTTCTGGGATGTACAGGGGTGCTGGAGGGAATCTGAACCTCTGGCTCCACAACCGGAGACCTAAGTGACTGAGCTGTCCAGCTAGTCACCTTTCATGAAAGGTTCCCCTTGACAATTTGTCCAGTCGTGTCCAACTCTAGACAGTGGTGCTCATCGCTGTTTCCAACCCTTAGAGCTAGCGTTTTGTCTGCAGACAATCCTCCATGGTCACGTGGCCAGCGCGACTAGACACAGAATGCCGTTACCTTCCCACCGAGGTGGTACCTATTTATTTACTTGCATTTACATGCTTTCGAACGGCTAGGTTGGCAGGAGCTGGGACAAGCGACGGGAGCTCACTCCGTCGCGTGGATTCTATCTTATGACTGCTGGTCTTCTGACCTTGCAGCACAGAAGCTTCTGCGGCTTAACCCCCGCGCCACCACATCCCTTTCATTTGGATCATTAAAAAGTGACCAGACGTTTTCCAGAAAACCTTGTCAGGCTGGATGGTACAAACATTAAGCAAAGGGGGATAAAATGAAAAGTCCCCTAATGAGAGGCCCTGGTCCTGCTTGCTTTTCCGCCCACCGGCTCATTGCCATTTTCAAGCACAAGAGTGCCATGGCTGGGGATGAAATTCCAGAGCTTGCAAAAGCCGTGGGGAGCTGAAGATTCGCCTTCTCCTGTACAGACCTCTTGTTTGGGGAGTTCCAGCTGAAGGCACCCCGGACCCCAACCACGGTGATTTTTAAAAGGGGATCCCATGAACCGTCATGAGGGACGGAGTGGTGTCATTCGAAATAAGATTCAGAAGCTAATGCCCCAGGTGTTCAAGTTGGGTAGCCGTTGACTACTCGGGAGTCAGAGATCGCCCAGTGAAGCCTGTAGGCAAGAGATTTAGGAGGGACCAAAAAACTCCCCAGGACTTCTTTGCCTGGGTCATTCCCCTGCGCAATTAAGGGCCGGAGAAATGCGTGGAGGGTCATTTGAGCAGGTGCCATTGGCAGGGAATGAAGGTACTAATTCACGGGGCGCTCTCAGCTGTTGGTGGCAACTGGGTTTTGTGAAATCTGTCAGGTGGGGAACCACAAGGTTGTATTGTCTGCTTGCCACACAAAGTCACTGCTCACAGGGAGCGAGCCAGTGGGCAGAGAGGCAGAACCACCACGTGGCACCGAATGCACTTGATTTGGTCTGATTCTGAAATTGGGTGGGAGAACCTTCTGGAAAAAAAAAGAACTAGAATCTCCTCGTTGTGCTAGAAAAAAGATTCTGGCTGAATACCCAGAAAGTCACGGCTGCCCAGCCAGAGTTGATCCTTGGAGGGTGAAAGGGAGAAACGGTCTAGTTCAGGAGAAGGCAACTTCCTCTTAGTTTCATGGCTCCGAATGACCACAGGATACTGTACCAGATGGCCTAATCCATCCTGCTTCTTCCAGGACGATGGGTTCTGAGTCCCAATAGTCGCAAATGCAGAGGTTGCCTTAAACTGCTCCTCATCACTGCTGGAGGCAGCCAGAGATTTTGAGTGCTAAATGTCTGGCACCTCCCTCCGTGATCTCCAGATAATGGATCTGTGGTACTATGGAGAACATTTCTGGGCCCAGCACTTGAGGTTTGAGGGTCTCCCCTGTCCCTTTTTTTAACGAGACGAAAAATCAGGGCTACAGAAGAGCTTTACACTCTTCACGTGTAAAGGTGTGTCACTCTCTTCTCAATTCCTGTGTATGGATGTGAAAGCTAGACCATGAAGACAGACTTGGAGGGGGTGGGAGGAAGAATGATTCTTTTAAAATACAGTGCAGGGATGTGCAGGTGGGGAACCACAAGGTTGTATTGTCTGCTTGCCACACAAAGTCACTGCTCACAGGGAGCGAGCCAGTGGGCAGAGAGGCAGAACCACCACGTGGCACCGAATGCACTTGATTTGGTCTGATTCTGAAATTGGGTGGGAGAACCTTCTGGAAAAAAAAAGAACTAGAATCTCCTCGTTGTGCTAGAAAAAAGATTCTGGCTGAATACCCAGAAAGTCACGGCTGCCCAGCCAGAGTTGATCCTTGGAGGGTGAAAGGGAGAAACGGTCTAGTTCAGGAGAAGGCAACTTCCTCTTAGTTTCATGGCTCCGAATGACCACAGGATACTGTACCAGATGGCCTAATCCATCCTGCTTCTTCCAGGACGATGGGTTCTGAGTCCCAATAGTCACAAATGCAGAGGTTGCCTTAAACTGCTCCTCATCACTGCTGGAGGCAGCCAGAGATTTTGAGTGCTAAATGTCTGGCACGTCCCTCCGTGATCTTCAGATAATGGATCTGTGGCACCACAGAAAAAAATTCCGGGCCCAGCGTTTGAGGGTCTCCCTTCTCCCTTTTTTTAATTGGGAGCAATGAGACGACAAAAAAAAATCAGGGCTACAGAAGAGCTACAGAACTCTTCACGTGTAAAGATGTGTCACTCTCTTCTCAATTCCTGTGTACGGATGTGAAAACTAGACCATGAAGACAGACCGGGGTGGGGTGGGAGGAAGAATGATTCTTTTAAACTACAATGCTGGAGAAGAGCTTTACGGATACTCTGGACAGCCAGAAAGACAAAACAGTGGGTCCTAGATCCAATGAAGCCTGAACTCTCTCTGGAAGCAAAAAAGGATGAAACCGAAATCATCCTGCTTTTGGGCACATCGTGAGAAGGCAGGATTCTCCGGGAAAGCCCCTCATGCTGGGAAAGGTGGAAGGCAGCAGGAGAAGAGGAAGGTCAGATATGAGATGGATCGACTCCATCAAGGAAACCACAGGCTTGAGTTTGCAAGAGCTGAGCAGGCCGGTTAGCGACTGCGATTTTGGAGGTCACTCATTCATGGGCTCGGTGAGGGTGGGCTTTCGCAAGGCCTGCTTGCAGACAGACAGGAGAGGAGGGCAAGGCGAATTGGCCGGCATCTTGCAGGATTGTCCGATCGGTGGGGTGCCCCCCCCAGAGAACGAGGCGCAGCGCCACTTTTTCCCTTTGCTCCCCTTTCTAGGAGCGCCACAGAGACCAAAGCCCTGTTTGAGAAGCACAAGCCCACGCATGTCGTCCACTTGGCAGCCATGGTCGGGGGCCTCTTCAGGAACATCAAGTACAATCTGGACTTCTGGGTAAGCCACCGGTCTCATCTCTCTCTCCCTTCTTGAGATCTTGCTGCGTGGGGAGGCGTGCTGGTGCGAGGAAACCTGGCTTCTCTCCGCCCTTCCCCCCCTGAGCTGCTCCTCAGTTGATCGGTGCAAAATCAGGATCGCACAGATCTCTGTGGTTTCTGTTCTTCTAAAAGCAGCCAAAGCAGAAATTATTATTATTATTATTTATTTAATTTATACCCTGCCTATCTGGACTACCAGACCACTCTAGGCGGCTAGAAATGTCTTCAGTGAAGCCCCAAGGTCTCCCACCCGTTACCCTCCAGATGTTCCGGAGCACAGCGATCAGAGTCCCTGTCTCTTCGGTCATGCTGCATGGGTGTGGAAGTGCAAAACATCTGGAGGGCACACGGATGGAGGAGGGACGGGGGTGCCATCCAGCCCTTCTCCGGCTCTGTCCAACTTCTGCATCGGTGGGAGGGGCTCCCTCTTATCGTTTCAAACTCCCCTGCTTCCCCTCCCCCCAATTTTTTTTACGGTGAAGTAAGGGGCTCGGTCTGACCCATGTGGGTTTTCTTTTTTTCCTATGTAGTTTTTAATGTGTCTTAAAATTAATTAAAGAGTCACTTGCATTAATTGCTATACCAAGAAAACTCATACATTGCGCACGACCCACGGTGCCAGCCTGTGCTACACTGAGTCCAATTCTGCATATATGATGCCCGCTTCAGGACATTTGGGTGTGCTCGTATTCTGAATTGATGGTGTGCGTTCCTGTGGGGTTTGGATGTTCTAAGAGCGAAGCTAGTTATGTGGTCCAAAAAAGTATCGTGACGTTGCCACTGATTCAGGATTAAGACAGAATGGATGGATTAATCGGCAGGGTGCTTTTTATCTTCGCTTTTTATCTAAAGGAGTCCCACCCGTTGTTCTTTTTTCTGTGCCATGATAAAAAGGGGGCCCCTTGGATTTCTCTTTAAATCTGGCCTTCACCCTGAAGTTTTGCATTTTGGAAAAGGGTAGTTTGTCAGCCAGAGGGCTGAGTCGCACATTTCCGTGGAGGAGAACGGCATGCCTTCAGTTCAAACCAAGCTGGATAAATCACAACCCTTTCCGACTCCAGCTACTCTTCCTTGTGTGTGGCACTAAGGGATTAATTCCCTGTTCCGGGTGAGGCTGCAAGTGTTGTCTCCTTTCATTCTTGTCTCCCGGAACTGACCCGTGGGCCTGCCACTATCTAGACACACATATATACACAGAGGGAGGGAGAGAGAGAGAGAGGCGCAGAACAGAACACTGTCGCTCCGTGCAGGCTGGAGGTTTGTTTGCTCCTGTGGGCGCAGTCCAGATCCGTGATCTGTGGCCACGTCACCCTTAATCCCGAGATCAGCTGCACAGCTGGCAGGCGAGGCTGCGAGCACTCTGGGTCTTACGTCCGGAAGCGCATAGCTGGCTAGAGCGGATGATGTCCCTGGCTTGATGCATGAGGAGCAAGGTGGGCAGCAATCCAAGGAAGAGGATTCCTGCTCTTCACAGAAGCGCATAGCTGGCTAGAGCGGATGATGCCCCTACCCTTCACGCAGGCATCGGCCTTACTCTGAGTCAGACCACGGCTTTCCATCACATACAGTAATCTCTCTGTTGACCAGCAGTGGTTTCACCGAGTTTAAAGCAGAAAAATCTCTTCCTGCCATAGTTGGAAATGCTAGAAATTGGACTTTCTGCATCGACAGGGGATTCTGTAGCATTGAGCTACACCTGCTTCCCAAAACAGTCCTTATTTCTTGTACGGGAAAAAAAATATCAGCCAGACTACCGAGAGAGAGAGAGAAAAAGAGAGACTGAATGACTGAATGTTGAGAATATTACATGCATTAGTTATAAATATTGTATTTATTAGTCGTGGAGGTACGTTGAACCCTGAGAAGTGGTCTTCAGATAGCCACCTTCAAATATGTGAAGGGTTCCCACAGTGGAAGATGGCGCAAGCTTTTCTGTGGCTCCCAAGGGTAGGAACCAAAGTTTTAAGAAAAGTGGTTTTGTTTAAACGTTAGGAAGAACGTGTTGGTAGTAAGAGCTGTTTCTCGGCGAGCAGACTTGCTCAGAAGGTGGTGAATTTCTCCTCCTCGGCTTTCAAAGAGAGGCTAAGTGGCCACGGTGGCCTGTAGCTGTGGGTGTCCTGCTCTGGCAGGGGGTTGGTCTTGATGACCTCTAGGGGTCCCTTTTGGCTCTACAGGTCTGTGAGTCTGTAATTCCAGACTCTGCCCTCTTGCCATCACCAGCAGGTACCAAGTGAGCCATTTATTTTCCCAGTGCTGTCAGGTGAACCGTTGTGAACTGTTAATTAATATTTATATTGGATTGGGTTTTGAATCCTCGAGAAGACACAACAGTGTGTGTTTTAAGGGTTCATCATGTTCGTGTCGAGTCTCAGAGGCCCCGTTAGGCAGGTCAGCCGTAAGATGCCTGCGTTGCAAATAGTGAAATTTGCAATTTAAGGCAGGCTGGTGTTTTGATTCAAAAACATTTTCATTGAGAACCGTCCACCTGCAGAACACTCCTGCAATCAGAAGGAGCGGATCCGTAATCCCCACTGAAGCAGAGGGAACTGGGTTCTTCTCTAAAGCTGCCCTGACCATCAGCAAGGAGGCTAATAAATAGGATGACCTATATTTTATTTATAGTTTTCTGTCTTTCCTCTCATGAGCTCAAGGGGGCCTGTGGGGCTCCCTTGAAGAAGTGGCCCCACAGTCAGTTTTTCCTCGAAACATCCCCATAAGGTGGGCCACGTTGGGAGTACAGTCGTGCCTCGCTTAACGATTGTCCCGCATTATGACGAATCCGCTTTACAACAATGTTTTTGTGATTGCAATTGCAAATCGATGGTCTAAATGGGGGAATTTCGCTTAACGATGATCGGTTCCCTGCTTCGGGAACCGATTTTCGCTTTACCATGATCAAAAACAGCTGATCGTCGGGTTTTCAAAATGGCTGCTGGGTGCTTAAAATGGTTCCCCGCTGTGCTTAGGGACGGATTCCTCGCTATACAGGCACCGAAAATGGCCGCTTGTATGGAGGATCTTTGCTGGACGGTGAGTTTTTACCCCATTGGAACGCACTGAATGATTTTCAATGTGTTTCAGTGGGGTTTTTAATTTCGCTTTACAATGTTTTCACTTAACAGCGATTTTCCTGGAACAGATTATCGTTGTTAAGCGAGCCACCACTGTATTTCAAATGAATGCACTCAGCGTGGAAAGATCCTGCACCTTGGAATTTCTGTTGTGGTCCAGAGCTGAAGCGAGCTCCCGGTCTGGCCACACATTTCGCAGGTGCAGAATAACTTCCGTTGGCAGGTGCAATCCTGCTTCTTCTATGACAGATCCCCCAGCTTGGCTTCCCCCAGTCACCTGTTCATGTGTTGGTTTTAAAAGTAGGAAGTTTTTGTTAGCACGTTCCCTTAGTGCCGCAGATGTAAATGGATTTCTGCATGCTGTATTCCGCACTCTGAAGTCCGCGCTTTTATCTTTTAATCCGTGTCTGTAGCCTCTTTGAGGCTCCTCTGGCATGTTTTCCCACGTGTTTCTCCCATTTGTTCTAGAAAAGGACCCAGAGTTTGAAATGCAAAATTGTATTTCCCTGTGAAATGAAAACAAACTCCTTGAAATGGAAGAGGAGGACAGGAATGTTCATTTCACCCAAGCAGAGCTGCACCCTCCTTGACGACCATTTGTAGTCCCCCGGAACTACCTGAGACCAGAATGTTTTACATGTCCTGCTCTCGGTTTGTCTTTACGCAGCGGAGGAACGTCCACATCAATGACAACGTCTTGCACTCGGCCTACGAGTGCGGGGTTCAGAAAGTGGTCTCCTGCCTCTCCACCTGCATATTCCCGGATAAGACCACCTACCCGATCGACGAGACCATGGTAAAGGCGGCTCTCGGTCTGTAACCTTTTTCTCAAGACGTAAATGTAAATTCCCACCACGATGGAAGATTACGTGGTTAGGGTCCCGTCGTCGTTATTTTTCTGAGATGATGCTGGGCTCCCAGCACCCAAACGCCCAGTTCCCCTTGGGTTTCGAAAGGGGATCTATGCAGTTGGGTAGCTTAAGCATTATCTCTTGCAAAACTCATCTCGAGGGTTTCGAAAGGGGATCTATGCAGTTGGGAAGCTTAAGCATCATCTCTTGCAAAACTCATCTGGATTAAAACAAACAAATAAACAAAAACTACAGCTCCCAGAATTCCGGTGCTACCTTGGGGGATTCTGGGAATGGTAGTGCAAAGAGACAGATAAGCACGCCTGCCTGCCTTCCACCCAATTTCTTACAAAAACACGGAAGGGGGTGGGTGGGTTTTGCTGCAAAAGCCCACTTGCTCCCTCTTGTGGCCAAATCAAAACATTAAACCTGAATTAAACATTTTAGGAGGGTCTTTGGGGCTCCGAAAGTGGCTGAGCACCTCCCCCAGCTCAGAATTTGGCCCGATTGCTTCCCACACCCCCTAGAGAGGAGAAGGGGACTTTTGGGGCCAAACGTTTCTCCGCAAAATTTTAAAACTGGGCTTGTTTCAGGATCATGTTCCCGTCATGCTTTGTACCACAGATAATTTCTGGTTGAAAATAAAAATGATGTGCTATAAAAAATGGGTTCGGTGGCCCAGGGGGCACCCACCCATCATGCGTAGGCTTATAATAATTTTAGAACTGCAGAGCTGGGAGGGACCCCGAGCGTCCTTGAGTCCATCGGCTGCCAAGGAGGCATAGACCCTAATCTAAAACTGTCCGCCACCATTCTTTCCAGATACACAACGGCCCTCCACACAGCTCAAATTTTGGGTATTCTTATGCCAAGAGGATGATTGATGTCCAGAACAGGTAAGTATCCTTTCTGGCTTTCTACTCCTCTCACAGAGCATCCCCTCCCAAGACATAGACTTGCTAATTCCTCTGGAAATCATTCTCTTGTCTTGGTCTGTTCTTGGCTTCTAAAGACCCTAATGATGGCTGTCGTTTTTCTGTGTGTGTGTGGGAGCCTGGATCTGGTATTCAGCCCCAACTGGCTGCAACTCTGGGATGTAGGAACATCTGCTAGGACACTGGTTCTTAACCTTGGGTTACTCAGGAGTTTTGGACTGCAACTCCCAGAAGCCTTCACCACCAGCTGTCCTGACTGGGGTTTCTGGGAGTTGCAGTTCAAAAGCATCCGAGTAACAAAGGTTAAGAACCACTGTGCTAGGAGATGAGGGGGGGTCATCTTCGGTACCTCTCCCCGGTGGCCCCAGATAGGCATGGCAGTCGAGACCTACACAGGTCCATTGCCTGGACTTCAGGATTTGGGCAGAGTAGCCACCGGCTCTTGCGATGGGCCTCTCTGCCGGTCTGAAAGCCACCTCCTGCTGTTTGTGCCCGCTGATGGTTCTGTCCCTGGGTTGAGAGTTGCTCTCCAGGGGGGCTTGGGAGAGAAGCCCCCCCCCGTGAGCTAGACGTGGCTTCTGCGTGGAAGGCGTGGGCTTGGACTTTCCCCTATTTTTGCGCACCCTCTGTCTGTGTCCTGGCTTGGGGGGTCACTCTTTGGAGGTCTGGCGATGCCCTCTTCCTCCGGGACGTTGTCCACGCACCTTCCGCCTCACTCGTGGGCCTTTCTTCCCTCAGGGGATACTTTGAACAGCACGGCTGTCACTTCACCGCCGTCATTCCCACCAACGTCTTTGGCCCTCACGACAACTTCAACATCGAGGATGGTCACGTTCTGCCCGGCCTCATCCACAAGGTGTACCTGGCCAAGAGTGAGTGAGTGGGGCCGAGCGGAAGCCAGCACCTGGGCAGGTGCCCGCGGGGGGGGGGGGAAAGAGAGCTGAGCTTGGATTACGGCAGCGGGTTGGAGGCGCCTGTTTCCCCATCATCCTCACTATTTTTGAGATGACCCCCTTGAGCAACCCTTTTGATAAGATCATGCTGTTGACCCAGGATATGTTTAAGATCACTGAGATGTGAGATACATGGCTCTAATTGGAGAGAGAGAGAAATGTGAATGTTATTGAAACAGAAATTGCAAAGAGTCTTCTCCTTCCTTATCACAACAATACACCCACAACAAAAACATACTGATCACCATAATCACCCATCTCCTGAAAAGGACAAAAGCTGATCCCACAGCTATAAATACTCAACTCCCAAACAAACTGCACCAGAGCACAGAGTGATACTCCTGTCCTCTGAAGATGCCCATGGCCACAGAGACTGTCAAAACGTTAGAAAGAACAACCTTCAAAACACGACTAAAGACCCCGAAAAACCCACAACAACCATCTAATATATTTATTTGCCTTAAAAGGGGTATCAATGTCCTTCACCACCACGTCACCCCCTCCACCCACCATAGATAGACAAATATTTAAAAAATGAATAAGACCTTCTATTTCAGATCTGCTATCTTGATAAGCCTGCTGTCTAATTTAGAAGTCCTGCTCTGTGATGCCAAACACGGAAAACGGTTCTGGTGGTTCAGTTTATTTATCTGTCTGTTTATTTACTTGTTTGATGTCATTGGTGGGCCGTCTTTCTCACTGCGAGGAGACCCAAAGGCATCTCACAATGTTAAAACCAGTCATTCTTGAAGACGCAATGAGTTAGAGATTGAAAAGTGATTAAACAGCAATAACAACTTTGGAGAGAAATGAGCTAAGCATTTGGAGATGCACTTTTTTGTTAACTGTGTATCCTGTGGTCTCCCAGCTGAGCTTTTACAGTCATAATGTGGAAGGTGAATGAAGATTTGACTAGGTCATCTCTAGACACCAGTTCCACAGCACCTATGCAGATAGGTGCTTACCTGCACTGGCTAGAAAATGTGGGTGCCCACGTTGGTTTACAGGCCATGTGGACTTAAGTGCTCAACGTAACATTGCTACTGTCTGAATTGATTCTGCTCCCGGCTTTCTCTCCCCCCATGCATGCCTGTTGTTTTCAGGGATGGCTCCCGGGGGCTCAGCCAACACAAGAGTAAGAACACATCTGGGGAGGACTATGTTGGGAGAAGGTGTGGATTGGGAGGAAGGGGAGCAGGAGGTAGACACTTTCAATTATTCTGGGTGTGACAGCCTGTACAAAAATTGCTGACCATTCCAAAAAAGTTTTAATCTGTGGTACAAGAATAAGATGAGAGAGAGAGAGAGAGAGTCTGTGTCTCTGTGTGTCTGTTTCCTGGGAGGGGTTCTGCACAAAACCCTTGGCTTCCCCCTTCTGTGCAATAAAGCAAGCATGCATGCAGCTGCCTCCAGAGGATGGGCTGATTGGCCCAAAAGATGCAAGCAACCCATTTGGTGCTTCTGGGTCTTAAGCGATCCCAGGCGGCAGTCATTCTTTCCGATAGAAGAACAGTCTATTCATTTAACTTATATGCCATCCGCACTACCCAAAGGTCTCTCTGCAGCTCAGTTGTGAGCTGCAGAGAGTATTTTTCCATCTGACGGGTGCAGGGAACTTCTTGGCATGTTGATAATGAGACGAGGAAGCATTTAGCTCATTAACTGGGTATATCAAGCCCTGTTTGATTCCTGTACACGAACAGGCTAAGGGCGGGGGAATCTGTGCGGTTTCTTTCAGAATCTCAGGGGGATGCAGGCGAGGAAGACTTTTTCCCCTCCTCTAATTGTCCGTTTTCTCCCTTGTCCTGCAGAAAATGGCACCCCTCTGACAGTCTGGGGGACAGGAAAGCCCAGGAGGCAGTTCATTTACTCTCTGGTAATCTCAAGGGCTGAGGCGTGGGGGAAAGAGGGAGCAGCCACCGGGGTGCCAAACGTGGGCGCAACTGCAGAAGCCGTTCAGGACCGCTGGGAGAATTTAGATTTTTTCTTCCATCCCATGAACAAAGCAGGCAAAAAGACCATGGTTAAAAATAGTTACCCATTCAGTTCCACTGTAGTTCTTAGGAGGCAGCTCATTCTTCCTTCTCACCTTAAGAGTTTTGTATTCTTGGTAACCTTGCCAGGTAGGCTCCTCTGCAAAGTATTTATTTATTTAATGAAAATATTTATACCCCCACCTTTCTCCTGGAAAGGACGTGGTGGCGCTGTGGGCTAAACCGCAGAAGCCTGTGCTGCAGGGTCAGAAGACCAAGCAGTCGTAAGATCGAATCCACGCGACGGAGTGAGCGCCCGTCGCTTGTCCCAGCTCCCGCCAACCTAGCGGTTCGAAAGCATGCAAATGCAAGTAGATCAATAGGTAACCATCTCGGTGGGAAGGTAACAGTGTTCCGTGTCTAAGTCGCACTGACCGTGTGACCACGGAAGATTGTCTTCGGACAAAAACGCTGGCTCTATGGCTTGAAGAGCGGGATGAGTGCCACCCCCCTA